TTGCCCCTAACTGCCCTCCCTTGCAGGCCTGGTCCCTCCCAACTGCCTTTCCCTGCTGGCCATCTTGTGTCCACATGGGGGCAGCCATCTTGTGTGTTGGAGTGATGGTCAATTTGCATATTACCGCTTTATTAGATAGGATAACCAAAATCTGGAAACAGCCCAAGTGCCCATCAGTAGATGAGTGGATAAAAAAGGTGAGGTACAGCCCTCAATGGTTAGAGTGTCAGCCCAGTGAAAGGTTGAGGGTTCAATTCCCAGCCAAAGGCATGTAGGTTTGATCCCAGGCCTGGATGGGGCATGTGCAGGAGACAACCAATTGCCATGTCTCTTTCACATAGATGTTTCTCTTTCTCTCTTGGTCTCTCTCTCTCTCTCTTCCCCACCCTCCCTCCCACACTCTTTAAAAATCAATGGAAAAAATATCCTTGGGTGAGAATTTTTAAAAATTTTATTTACAAAATGGAATACTATGAGTATGTAAAAGAGAAGGAACTCTTACCCTCTGCGACAGCATGAATAGACCTGGAGATTATTATGCTAAGTGAAATAAGCCCATCAGAGAAAGACAAATACCAAATGATCTCACTTGGAATCTAATGAACCACATAAACTGACTAACAAAATAGAACCAGAGGCATGGATATATGGAAACATTAAACTGATGAATGTCAGAGGAAGGGGGCTGAGGGGACTGAATAAAGGATTAGCTTAAGAACATATATGCATAGCTCTTGGACACAGACAATAGTGTGGTGAGGGCCAAGGTTGTGGGGGCGGGGGGAGGACTTGGTGGAGGTGGGCAAAGGGGTGAGGGAATGGGGGACATCTGCAATAGTGTCAACAATAAAAAATTTAAATTAAAAAAAGAAAAAGAAAACCAAGATCCACAACATTGCTTAAAATCCATATAAACTACAAAAGTAAAATAGGAAGGAAACTGAATCTATTTAATTCAGGCTATTAAAAATATTTTTTTCTGTTTAAATATATCACTCTGTAGGTAAAAGCTAGAAGAGAAAAAATGTCAATGAAATGGCAAGAAAGGAAAATTTTGGATCACGCATTGCATTTAATTGCCAATGTCTCTTGAATCTTCTTTAGTCTAAGACTGATTACTTAGCACTTCTTTGTCTTTCATGATATTGCCATTTTTGAAGAGTATAGGCCAGTATTTTGTAAACTGTTCCTTAACTTGGGTCTGTCTGGTGTTTTCTCATGATTAGTACAGGTTATGCATTTTTAACAGGAATAACACAGAAGGTGTGTCTCCTCAGTGCA